TATATATATATAAACTAAATTTAAATTATGAGAAACAAAAAATTATAACATAAAATATATGTAATTATTATGAAAAATAGATATTTATCATTTCCATATAGGAATAAGAAATAAAAGTTTTCAATATATATTTTTAAAATGATTATAATTTATAACCATATTTTTGTATCCAATTTAATCCATTTATTGAAGATGACAGTGGATGATATTCTAAACCTATATATTCATTATATCCTTCAGTTTCTAAAAGTGAAAGGACATATTTGTAATCTATTTCTCCAGAAGTATCAGGCTCATGTCTGTTTGGTACTTGAGCAATTTGTATATGACCTATAAATTAAAAGAAATATATATTTTCTTTTATATATTTAAGATAAATTATATACCTATATATGGTAAAAATTCTTTGATGTTTTTTGTAATATTGCCGCAAATATGTTGTAAATGGAAAACATCAAGTTGTAGTTTTAAATTTGATTTATTTATCTTCTTTACCACATCTAAGCCTAAATAAAAAATAACATATAATAAAGATAATTTTTTATTAAAATAAAAATATATTTTGTAGTAGATAATTACCCTTTTGAAAACTATTCATATAATAATTTGGCACAGTAATATTATTAATAGGTTCTATAAGTGCAATTATTCCCTCTTTTTGAAATTTCTCTACTGCATATAAAAGATTTTTTATATAAATATCATCATTAATAGTTGTTATTTGATTCACTTTGCCTGACATTACATGAATTCTGAAAAAAAAAATAGTACAAAAAATAAATTGAAACATTGATTTTTAGAAAAATATTCATTAATTTATTGAATTAAATTTCCTTTACCGTTTACAATTTAAAGCATTTGCATATTCTATTGTTAAATCAATACTTTTTTTGAAATTTTCTTCTTCTCCAGGTATTGCTGCAAATCCTAACTCTCCTTTAGAAACATCACCTATTTCCAAAATTATATTAAAATAATAATTATAATTATTATTAAATTAATCATTATTTATATAATACTTTATACAAATTATAATTTTTAAATTAACCTGTAAACACATTTATAAGAACTTGTTCAACATCTGCATTTTTTTTGGCTCTTGATACATCTTCAATAGAAAAACCAAAAGGAAATCCACTTTCTACTGCTTTAAAACCAGCTTCTTTTGCCAATTTATATCTATCAATGATAGATGGTGCCTCAATAAACATAAAAGATAAATTTGAAGCAAATTTTAAATTCATACTGTTTATTTTTTTTTACAAATGAATATTCCACTGTAACTATTGATAGAAAAAGCACTTACAATATAATATATAATATATAATATTATGTAACTTTACTTATCTTTATATGAAGGAACAAATATCACTTGTCACACATTGCACATCACACAAGCAACATTGAAGATTTTATCTATAATGTTTTTTTATTATCAAGTGTTTTTTTATTATCAAGTTATACATAGTTCATATGTATTTAATCTTTATTTAAATTTAATTGTAAAATATTTAAATATATATATTTAGTGAAAAATTATATACTTTATATTATTTCACAAGATAATTTATTGATAAATATTGTTGATAAATATTGTTAAAATATATTTTATTATTATTGCATTAATTATAACGTTAACCTCTATAATTTAAATAATTAAAAAATTAATTTTTAAAAATGTTACTTGTTTTTAATAAAATATATAATATTTTTAATAAAATAAAAAATATTGAATAATTAAAAGAAAAATATATTTAATTTATATATAACTAGTTTGAGGAAAAATATAAAACATTTTAATTTTTGTGTATGTTTTTTTCATTAAAAAAAAGTGTGAATAAATGTATTAATATTTTTTTTACAAATTCTTGTTTAACATGAAGTTTAATATAAAGCCAATTTAATGTAATATTATAAAATAAATATAAGAATTAATGAGTAATTAAATGTTTTGTATGTATACATTGAAATTTGTATATATGAAATGTTTTATCTATTACTCGTCGTCATCACGAACACCACCACCTGGTACTTTTGGTCCTCCTGCACGTTTTGCCATAATAATCTGATTGACTTTAAGTACAGTGCATGCAACACCAACAGCATATTTTAAACCCCACTGTTTTGTTAAGAATAAATCAAAGATTCCAGTTTCAACTGTATCAATAAGACCTCCTTTTTGCTATAAAAAAAATTTATATATATTTTATTACAGATTAATTATGAAATTTAATAAAATATTTACAAATGCGTACATCAATGTTAAAACCGTAATTCTTTTTGCCTTCTTTATGTGCAGAATAAAGTTTGGATAAAAGTTCTGAAGCATAACTTCCACTATTTTCCGCTAAGGTTTTTGGAAAAACTTCTAGAGCTGTTGCAAATCTGCGTACTGCATATTGTTCTAAGCCTGGTAAAGTATCTGCATAAGTACTAAGCTGTGAAGCAAGTTCAATTTCCGTAGCACCCGCTCCAGGAACAAATCTTCCATCTCTTGTTATTCCTTTAAATGTATTAACTCCATCGTCGATAGCCCGTTCAATATCATCCATATAATTTTCTGTAGATCCTCGAACAATTATAGTGCTAACACGACTATCTTTACCATTTATTGCAAACTTTACTACTATAGTATCACCAACTTCATCAATATATACTGAATCTGCATATCCCAGTTCTTCTTTTGATGGTGGAGCCTAAAAACAAAAATAATTAATTAGATCTTTATAATATATTAAAAAATAAATGATTAAAAAATAAAATTATTTTTCTTAACTAGTTTTGAAAGTGCAGTAGCACCAACAGTTTTACATAATCTCCTAATATCAAACTTGCTAGGTATACGAACAGCCATTAAATTATATTTGTTCATATAATGTAAAGCCATATCTCCAAACTTTCCTCCTGAAACAATCACACTAGCTCCACTATCAGCAATTGCTTTTATTTGAGATTCTAATAAGGATTCTTCTCCTCTAGAGAATTTCATTAATTCATCTGCTGTCTTTATTAATACTGTTCCTTTTGTTTCAGTTTGTATGATATCTACAGCACAAGTATAGACAGCAATTTTGCTATTATCTTTTCTTGTGACATCTCCTTCAACTTGTCTCTTAAATACCATTCCCTGTACAACTTCAGAACTGGATATACCACTACCAAGTATTTTACAAACACGTACATTATCTACATTAAAAGTACTTTTTTTTGGTAAAATAGAAATACAAGCTTGTGCTACAAGAGAAGTAAGTGGTTCTTCATTTCCATATTGTTTACTCATAATAGCTGTTTTAATTCCCATTTTTATTTGTTTTTCATCTTTATAATCTTTTATTTCATAACAAACTAATGTTGGTAATATCTGTAAAACTTTCTCTAATGAAGCTTCATATCCTTCAACTATTTCAGATGTAGTGATTCCCTGATATAAAAATATTGATATAAAAATGTTTACATTAATATATTTTTAATTTATGATTATGATTAATCAAATAACATTAATTATTCTAAAAATTTACCAAACGAAGTAATTCTTCTGCAGCTTCAAGAAGTGCACCAGCAAAAATTATTACAAAATTAGTGCCATCACCAACTTCTGCTTCTTGCATTTTTGATGCAAGAACTATCAATTTAGCAGCTGGGTGTTCAACTTCTAATTCATTAATAATTGTAGCAGCATCATTAGTAATAAATAATTTTTCAATATGATTAATTATCATTTTATTCATGCCATTTGGGCCATAAGCAGTCCGAACAGTTTGTGCAAATTGTTTACATGCTGATATATTTCCATATACTGCTTCTTCTAAACCTGAGAAATACTGATTGAAAGAGAAAATAATATATATATTATTAAATGTATAAAATATATTTTAACTCATATATTATTTTTTATTAATTAAAATAATTACATGTTTGTAATTTTGTAATTTTTCTTATAAGTTTATTAATAATATATAATAAACTATATCATATAATTAAAAGTTAAAATTTATTAGATATAATTTTGTAATTAATAATATAAATAACATATCCTAAATTATAGTTTTTTCATTTATAATGACAATTTCTCCAATTTCATATTAAATAAAATAATCAGATCTCATATATTTTTTTAATATTAATATTAATATTATTATTAATATTAATAAAATTATTATTGTCATATAAGAAAATCTACTAATATTAATAATTTGTAAAATTTCATTATATATGTATATAATAAATAAGATAATATTAATTTAATCGTAATTTAATTGTAAAAAAATATTGATAAAATAACATAAAAATGAAAGGAATTTAAAAATTTTTTTGATTTTAAAACATTATTTTTAAAATACAAAAAATACATGCTTTAAATAAATATTCATTCATAAAAGATAATGTTTGATATTGAACTTTGTGTCATATTTCATTTGACAAATAACATTTATGCTTACACGAGCTCCTTCTTTAAGCATTTGGGCCATGCCCGGTGCCTTTGGTACATGAAAAGCCATGATTTTTTGTAAAAATCAGATTTTTATACCTCGTGTGTATTTTAATGGACAACTTTTCGTCAAAAATAACGAATAATCCAGATATTTTTCCACGATTGTGATTACAGCGACATCGCTCTTTAATAATTCTAATCTTAAAATTATAAAAATTTTTATAATATCCTTTATTAATTTAAATATTTAATAGAATAATAAAAAAAGTAAAAATTATTATTTATTTAAATTTAAAAAATATTTATGTAAATTTTATATTATTATAATTCTATCAAATTTAATTTTTATGAAAACGAACCTTAAGGGATAGGCTTGAAGTACAAACTAATAAAATTTAGTTGTGTGTAGCAAAAGTATGATAATAATTTAAGTATCGTTAAGTGTTCTATATTTTCGGAGTTTATTATTAAAAATTGGTAAATTAAATTTTATAAAAATTACAAATGAATAATCAAAAGAAATTTAAAATATATTTTTGTATATTTTAGTATTTCATAAAAAATTTTGTTGCCTTTATCTGTTATGGATATGGTGACCACGAATTTACAACAACAACGACAAATCACGGAGCAGCTACGTCGTGAAGCTGCTTTAAAACGAATCACGGTTAGCAAAGCTGTTGAAGATATCATGAAATATATCACAGAACACGAACAAGAAGATTATCTTTTGGTTGGTTTTTCATCACAGAAATCAAATCCCTTTCGTGAAAGAAGTTACTGTACCATTTTTTAAACTTGCATGTTTAAAATAAAAAGCAAGTTATTTTAATTTTTTTTCTTTAAATATTCAAATTTTAATGTTTAAATTAATATATTATTGTAACATCATTTATATTATGAATATTCAATATACATTTATCAATTTAATTTAATTCAAATCATCATTGTCTTATTTTTTTATATATAAAAAATATATTTTGATATTTATTTTATATAAAAATTAAATGAAAATTATTTACATATTCAAAATTTATTTTTGAAGAATCTCATTATTATAATTTAATGCCTCATTACTATAATTTTATTGGCCTATAAATGTATCACAAAATGCGCACACATAAGTGATTTTTAACTTAACGTATCAATATTATATGCATATATATATATATATATATGTATGTGTGTGTGTGTATGTGATGCGTGAAAGTAAAATGTTATTTTGTACAATGTTGATCTTAAAATATAATATTTTTTAAATAATATTATGGGAACATTATTCAATAAAAGAAACATAGTATATTTTTCATTCACTACAATTAAAATTGAAATTAAATATTTGAAATGTCTATTTATATCTAATGTATATACAATTTATTTTGCTACTATATATGCTTAAATAAAAATGCATTTATAAAATTTAAATTGTAATATAAAATAAAAATATGTAACAAAAAATACAAATTTTAGTTCTTATTACAAATTTTATTTAATAAAATTAAGATTTATTTATTTTGGATAATATATATGACTGTTGTAACATATTAGAAAAGATATCAATTGTATATAGATTTGAAAATTATTTTTTTTTTTAGAAACAATATTAAAAATTTAATACTTAAAAATGGTAATAATATAATATTTATAAAATATTTTTATTTCATAAAAAATATTATAAATTTGGAATTCTTTGGCATCTAATGTTAATAAAAGAAAAATTATGAGCATAACCTAGAAATTTATATTTATCATTGTCTGAATCATTATAAATAATTGAGCAAAACATTATTAAAAAGTATTTTTTATATAAATATTCAATAAAAGCATATTATATAAATATTTTCTATTTGTCTCTTATAATTTTTCAGGTAATTATTTAAATAATTAATTTATTATTAAACAATAAAAAACATGTTAAATATATTATTTTATTTATAGATATCAAAAATGTTTTCAATTAATTTGGTAATTTTGGATAGTTATCAATCAACTCCACTACCAGAATTGGATGTAACATTTTCAGATTTTCGAGGAAATGAAATTAGACAAGTTCCAGTTATCAGAATATTTGGATCTACTTTATCTGGTATATCATAATTTATTTATGCAAATATTTAATTATTGTTTTTTTAATATTATTTATTAATTATGTCAAGGAATAAAAACATGTTTACATGTACATGGAGTATTTCCATATATATATATACCATGTACAGTAAATAACAATGTTGATAGCTTTATGTATAAATTAGCAGCAGGAATAGATTCTGCAATAAATATATCTTTGGGATCTGCAATGTCTAATATTCAACACGTTTATAAAATTCAACAAGTTTATGGAATGTAAGAATATTAAATATTATAAATATTATTAATTATACTAATATATATTATTAAATATAATGAACTAAAATATTTATTGTAATATTTATAATAACTAAAATATTTTAGTCCTCTTTATGGATATCATGAGAAGAAACATTTATTTTTTAAAATTTATTTTTATAATCCAGCTATGGTTAAACGAGCAGCTGATTTATTGCAAGTATATAATATTTATATTTATAATTATTTTTCTCTTTTTATTAAACAATGCAGAATTAATGTCAAATATTTTGTTTTGTTCCAGAATGGCATGGTACTTAATCAAAGCTTACAACCACATGAAGCACATATACCTTTTATTTTACAATTTATGATTGATTATAATCTCTATGGTATGAGTTTAATAAATTTGAAAGATGTTAAATTTAGACAATATACACATATGAAAGAAAATTCTCAAAATGAGAATTCATTAAATTTATTTGATTCACAAAAATATCTTCCTGCATCTGTTTTAAAGCAAACTACTTGTAAATTAGAAGTAGATGCACAAGCAAGTGAAATATTAAATAAACAAGAAATTCAAAATGGTTTTGATTTAAATCCTGGTCTTGTAGCCATTTGGAATGAAGAAAAATATAGAAGAGAAACAAAAGGGCTACAGAATATTGAATCACAATTTTTATATTCCAATACTAATGAGAGAATTTATAATGTAACAGAAAATGACATTTATCAAGAAAAAAAATTTATAAAAAGATTACAATCTATATCACAAGTATGAAGTTATTTCGAAAATTTCCATATGGAATGAACATAATATATTAATTTATTCATATTTTTAGATCAGTGATGATATAATATCAATATCAAATGAACATAGTTATCCTTTAGAATTAGAAAATGAAGATAATTCATTTAGTGCTTCATATGTTCCTAATCATTTTAAACCATTAGTATTAAATAAGAAAAATAAAAATGAATACTTTTAAATAATGATTATTAAAATTTAAAAAATCTGAAATAAGAGAAAGTTTATCTAAAGATAAAATGATAGAAAATAGTATTTGTAAGTAATAATATTATAAGATAAAATGATAGAAAATAGTATTGTAAGTAATAATATTATACAATAAGTACATTTTTCTTTCAAATTTTCTTTTTAATTTTTTTTTTTACTTAAATAATTGAACACAAAAATTATATTTTTTAGTGGATTCAGAAGATATGTATTTGCTTGAAATATTAAATAATTTAATAGAAGAAAATGAAGAAGAAAAGATTATAGATAATGATAGTATGTTAGGTTCTCAATTTTCTATGTTAAGCAATGAAATTAAGGATGATAATGAAGATGATGAGATTGAAAATTTGAATATTACAAGTTTAGATTTGAATAATATTGATTCATGGAATTCAACTGTTGAATTTGAAACTAAGGCCGAAGATAAGAAAATAGATTACATAACTGAACATAATATTGAAAGGACTATATCAACAGATCTTCCTCAATATGATGGTTCAAGTGATTTGATTTTAAAAGATAAAAAACAATTATCATCAAAATTTACTAAAAATAAAATGAAAAAAAAAGGAAAAGTATGTACAAAATCGAAGAAATTTATATTGCATTTTAACAAAAATATAGTATTAAATGAATTTGAAAATAAACATAGAAAATTAGTGCAAACTGAAAAAAAGCTATTCTATTACAAAGATTTAAATATATATAAATTAGATCATCAAGATTTAGATGTTTATGATATTGATGAAATATTTAAACATAAATTAACATTATATAAAAATTTAAAGAACCCAATAAATTTTGAGAAAGAATCTAATCCATTTAGTCATGAATCATATCATACCATGAATAATATTTTAAATAAATTAAATATACCAGCATTTGATGGTAATACAATTGATAGTTCTAGTGATTCTGAATCAGATAAGAATATTACTATTAACAGAGAGGAAAAACGTATTTGTGTTTATAAATCATGTATAAAATCTAGAAATGACAAAACTATTGATAATATTTCAGCAAAAAAACGAAAATTTAAATTGGAAGATTGTAATTTACAATCTACACATAAACGATGTAATTTACAAAATGAATTACATTGTACTCCAACAAAAATAAAAACTGTACACAGTCCATGCTCTGTTTCAAAAAAATATTCTCCACTTAATATAAAAATAATATCTCCAAAGATAGATAAGAATATTAAAAATAACGAATCTTGTAATTTAAAATCCACCTATAATACTTTGAAACAAAATAATCAACAACTGAGAATGAATCTATTTCATGAAAAAATAAATAATATTACTTCAGAGACAGATCAAGGTAAGTAATATATTATTATAAATTTTTTTTATATATCTAGCATTTTATATTTCATTCTTTTTAGCATTGTTTACACACAATGAAACTTTAAATACTAATGAAACAATTATTTTTAAAGAGTATAAAGACAGGTAAATATTATATATATATATATACATATATATACACGCGCGTACACATATATACGTATGTATAATATTTAATTTTAATTTTTATATTAGCAATATGTATGAAGAATTAATTAGAAAAAAAAGATAGTGCATCAACAACAAAATTTAAAAAAGAATTTATTATTAAAAATAACAAAGCAGTTCGTAAAAGATTAAGTTTTGTAAATATTAATGAAAAAGACATCAGTGAAAAAGATATCATAAAGAATGATATGAATTCTGACAATTTATCTTTAACAGAAAAAATGATTAATGATATTGATCAAATCAATGATTTTACTAATATTTCAATAATAATTCATCCTGAACATTCTAAGTTATACACAAAAAATAATGAAAAAATGAATTATGAATTTAATTTTCCAAGTACATCGAGAAATAATGTAAATTTAAATGTAGATAATATTTCAAATAAAATATCATTGATAAATAAAAATACAAACGAAGATGAAGATGATATTTGTAATATGACATATACTCAATATCTTAATAAAAAATTAGAAGGGGAATTAGATATTTCAAATATTATATCACGTGATAATACAAGTGATATAAAAACTAGAATAATTATTATTACTACTAAATTTAATCCACCAAGCAGAGAAAAAATTATAAATTCTATGAAAATGTATAATATTTTAGAATTAAAAAACAATGCATTATTCTTTAGTAACAAAATTGATTTGATAAAGTGTAGAGAAAAAGAAAGTTTAAATAATAGTAGTATTTACAATGTAATTCCATTTAAATGTAGTTTAAACAAAGTTACAGGAATTAAACTTTGGCGACGAGTAAAAATAAACGAATTTTATCCTTCTGGTTCAAGTATAAAATCTTGTGACATAAAGAGAATTTTAGCTGGATATAATTCATTAGTAATTCATCCTCTTATTCATCCACCAACATCGAAAAATGTTAAAATTTGGTTAAAAGCCAAAAAATATTTATCAAAAAAAAATAAGCATAAAGAAATAAGTAATAATATTGATATTTTAAAAGATACAAAAGAAAATAACATTAAAGAAACATTTAATGAAAGTATGAAATATCATTCACAATGTTCTAATAATTTGGAGAATTCTAATAATAGTTTTAATCCTTCCTTACAAGAAATGCTTGAAAATCCATTATTATATATGAATGATACGCGATATTTAGGTATTTCATATGGACAAATTGAATATAATTTGAAAGAATATAGTAATAATGCAGAAAAAGAAAATCGTCAAACTGCTAAAAGTTTAAATATGGTAATTATCTCACATTAGAACTTTAAAAATAATATCATATTAAATATTACTAAATTTTTTTCTTTAAACTATTACAGCATCAATATTTAACAATATTAGCAATAGAAATACATGTTATTACACGTGGTAAATTTCTTCCTGATCCAAATCATGATTCAATTGAAGCAATATTTTATGCTATTTATAATGATGCTCCATTATCTTCAAAAATTGAACAAATAGAACATGGTATAAATTAGTATTATATATTTATTATATATTTATTTTTAATTATTTTTCTCAAATAATTATAAACCCAATTATAATTATAATATTATTTTAGGCGTTATTCTTTTAAATTCATCTATAAAAAATTCAAAAATAAAAAATATATATTCTAGTAATACATATACTACATCTTATGTATCAAGTGAAGAAGATTTATTAAATAGTCTTATAATATTAATTAGACATTGTGATCCAGATATTTTAATTGGTTGGGAGATAGAATTTCTTTCATGGGGATATATCTTTCATAGAGCTTCTCATATTGGTTTACATAATTTTATGTGGCAAATTTCAAGGATTTCAAATGCAATTCCAATATCTAAAGGACAAACATTTGATAAAGATAATTTCAGTGATGCACAAATACCAGGTCGAATTATTTTTGATGTTTGGAGAGTAATGCGACATGAAGTAGCGTTATTAAATTATACATTTGAAAATGTTATGTATAATGTCATGCATGAAAGAATTTCATGTCCTACCTTTCAAATGTTAACTGAATGGTGGAATCATGAAAATATGACTATGCAATGGAGAGTTATTACTCATTATATCATAAGAGTTGTAGGTACTTTGAGAATATTAATTCATCTTGATATTATTGGTTTGTATTACTTATATTTTAATATTTTATTATTTTATTATTTATTTTGCAATTTTATAATTGTTCACATTATATTTCAGGTCAAACATGTGAACATGCACGACTTTTTGGAATACAATTTTATGAAGTTTTTTCTAGAGGTTCTCAATTTCGAGTTGAGTCAATGATGTTAAGACTTGCAAAACCTTTGAATTATATTCCAGTTTCACCTTCTGTACAACAAAGAGCACGAATGCGTGCACCTGAATCTCTACCGCTTATTATGGAACCACAATCTGCATTCTATACTGATCCATTGGTTGTCCTGGATTTTCAAAGTTTATATCCGAGTATTATTATAGCTTATAACTATTGCTTTTCTACATGTTTAGGTCGTGTAGAGCATATTGGTCAGTAAGTATAATATTAACATTTTTATATTTATTATAATTTAAATACAATATATAAATATATTAAATTATTCTTATATATTTTCTAATTTATTCAAGATATGAGCCATTTGAGTTTGGTACAACAACATTAAAGATAAAGAAGAATACTGCTCAAAAATTAGTGGGTAAAGTAAATTTTGCACCTTGTGGTGTAGCTTTTGTAAAACCAGAAATACGAATGGGAATATTACCACGTATGCTTTCAGAAATCTTAAATACTCGATTAATGATAAAAAAATCGATGAAACTTTATGGAAATGATAATGATACATTACAACGTATTCTTTATTCACAACAATTAGGTCTTAAATTAATTGCAAATGTCACTTATGGTTATACAGCTGCTAATTTTAGTGGTAGAATGCCTTGTATTGAAGTAAGTAAAATAATATTTTTATATATTTTTTATAAAATTAATCATTATTATTAATCTAAAGATTATATTAAAGATAGGAGATAGTGTTGTTAGTAAAGGAAGAGAAACATTAGAACGAGCAATTAAAATAGTAGAATCTACAGATAAATGGGGAGCTGAAGTTGTTTATGGTGACACAGATTCTTTGTTCATTCTTTTACGTGGAAAATCAAGAAAAGATGCATTTATAATTGGAACTGAAATTGCTGATACTATTACTGCAGCTAATCCTCCTCCTGTAAAACTTAAATTTGAAAAAATTTTGCAACCAGCAATATTACAAGTAATATTTAACATTTAATATATAAAATAATTAATTATATAATTAATAATTTAATATATAAAATATATAATTAATATAAAAAAATATTATAAATTAATATATATAATAGTATTAATATATTAATATATTTATAAAATCTTTGGAGAATTGAAAATATAAAAATATGAGTTATTTATTAAATGTAGAAAAATTTATGTTTAGAAATTTAGAAAAAGCGAAGCAAATATAAAGAGAGAGATATAACAGAGAATTTCAGTTTCTGTTTTTATCTATGCTTTTTTCTAAAAATGCAATAATTGCTAATTTATAATTTATTTATTATAAGTATTAACTGATATAAGATTTTATATTTGTTTTGATTTTTTAAAAATCAACTTTCAAAAATATTCCATAAATATATTAATATATTAATTCTATTGTATATATTAATTTATAATATTTTTTTTTATATTCAGACTAAAAAAAGATACTGTGGTTATATGTATGAATCTCCAGAACAAACAAATCCTGAATATTTAGCAAAAGGAATTGAAACTGTTCGTAGAGATGGTTGTCCAGCTGTAGCTAAAGTAAATAAAATAAAATTATTGTGAAAAAAATAAAATAAAAATATTAAAAAATAATAATAATTTTATATTTTAGATACTTGAAAAAACGTTAAAAATTTTATTTGATACAAAGGATCTTTCTATGGTAAAACTGTATGTTACCAGACAATTTGATAAAATTTTACGTCAAAAAATATCTATTCAAGATTTAACGTTTGCAAAAGAATTTCGTGGCTTGAATAATTATAAAACCAATGCTTGTGTACCTGCTTTAGAATTAACACGAAGATTGATGCGCAAAGATCCACGGGCAATACCTCGTACTGGTGAAAGAGTTCGATACATTATAGTAGCTGGAGCCCCAAATCAACCTTTAATTCAATGTGTGCGAACTCCAATGGAAGTAATTTCAGATGAAGGTTTAAATCCAAATTCAATATATTATATAACAAAAGTTATCATACCACCTCTTAATCGATGTTTAAATTTAATCAACATTGATGTTAATACATGGTACAGCATGTTTTTATGTTATATTATATATTATTTAATAAATTTTTATAGCATATTTAAATTTTATTTATATATTTGTCACTTGTGTCAATACTATAATTTATAATAATTTTTTTTATTTTAGGTATAGAGAGATGATCCATCGTCAAACATCTGATAAAACAATTGATTTATGTACAAATAATCAAAAATTAACCATTCGGCAGTTTTTTAATACTGTTGTATGTGTTACTTGTGGAAATCAAACGCAAAAAGATATTTGCATGAATTGTATAGCAAAACCAAGTCAGACAATTACTATTTTATATGAGAAATTAAGATGGTTGGAACGTACTCATCATGAACTTACTATGGTATGTGTATATATTAACTGTATTACATAAAATATATTTTATTTTTTCCAGATACTGAAAATTAAATTAAATTATTAAAAACACATATCTTTTTTTTAGATGTGTCAATCTTGTACTGGTTATTTAGATGAACCAAAATGTGAATCTTTAGATTGTCCAATTTTATATCGTTTAATGCAAGCTAAAAGAGATCTCATTCAAATAACATATTTGAATAATATTATTTATAATGATATTTCTTGTATACATAGAGAAAAAATGTAAACTAATGTTATCTTATCAAATGTATTCATATCTTTGTGATATATAAAATATTTATAATGTGTGATATTGGATATAGGAAATTATTTTAAATCTTTAATAAAAGAATTATAATTTGGTTTGAAAAAAATCAAGTTTGGAAATTCATTAAGTACATATGTACATAATCAATTTTCGGTAAACTTTGTTTAATAATATTATAAAAAAAATATCTTAAAATAATGTTTTTAATATAATATTTTATATTATTTTAATAATATATAATATATAAGTATTTTAATAATAAAATAATTTAAATAATTTGTTTTAAATTTGATTTTCTTAATTTTTTCAAATAAGATTTGAATAAAAAATTTTATTTCACTTTTTCGATTTTTCCTTGTCTATAGAATAATTTTTTGTTTTTATACATATATATCCGTTCTAAAATACTCCATATAATAATATATATCATTATATTTTTTATTATTTTAATTACATATTAATTATATATGTGTGTGTGTGTGTGTGTGTGTGTGTATGTATTATATTGAAAAATAATAAAATCAAAAAGATATATCTAATACTCAAGTATTTGCAAAAAATTGATTTGAACATAAAGATTATTCATTATGTCACCAGATAGCGTAGTATATTGAATATATATTGTTATATATAAGGTGTTAACATATTCGTGGGATACATTGGAGGATCAATTTTAAGGTTAAAATAAATATAAAAATAATATAAAAATATTGATTGAAACTTATTTATTAAGTTATAAGCAATTGCATTAGATGAAACAAAATAGAAATAGAATGAGATTATTTTGTCTTGATGTTGCTTCATACGTAAACTTAAATTAATTTTTTAATTAATTTAATAAATAAATTTTAACTGACATTTTTGTATATTAATTTTTGTGTTTGTATTGGTTTCTAAAATTAATTCTTTAAAAAATGTTTCGAGAATAAATTATATATATATATATATATATATATATATATATATATATATATATATATA